GCCAGGGCCAGGCTCTCACTGCTCTGGAACCTGCCCCCTGGGTTCCAACATGTCCTTAATATGCCACCACCAGGGATGCACTGTTGCCATGCTGTGATTGGCCTGGGGGCAGTTGGTCTTTGACCCACCATGGCCAGACTGTGCTGCTCCTGGGCCCTGGGCCCAAGCCACCACAGCACCATCATCCCAGGGCCTGCGCTCCTGCTGCATCCCCTCGTCCCCCATGTGAATCCATGCAGCAAGCCCTCAGCACAAGGCAAATACATTTCCTTGCCTTTTCTAGCTTCTAGAAGCCACCTGCACTTCTTGGTTCAGGGCCGCCTCCATCTTCAAAGCCAGCTGTGCAGTACCTTCAAATCTCTAATCCTGACCCCTGCTTTTGTCACTACGTCTCCTACCCTGACTCTAATCCTTTTATTTTCCTCTTTAAAAGACCTATGTCATTACACTGGGCACTCCCAGATAATCAGGATAATCTCCCCATCTCAAATCCTTATTTATTAATAACTGCAAAATCCTTTATGGCATATATGGTAACATATTCAGGTGCCTGGGAATAAGAGCATGTAGAATTTTTGGGGAGTCATTATCCATCCCACTACAAGAAGGTTCAAAACATCTTCTTATCCCAGTAAAACTGTTGTCAGGTGACCTGTGCCAGAGAGATCTCATCTGTGCACCAGGGAAAGACCTCTGCATGGAGACAGCCACAGTCAGGTAGGTTCTTGATTCCAAACAAGAAAGAATTCATGAGCAGATCAAGCAGGTGCAAGTAAAGGGTAGTTTATCAAAGCAAAAGTACACACTCAGGGAGGGAGTGCGGGCATGATCCAGCTGTGAGCAGCATGGTGTTTGGGTTGGGTAGTCTTACAGCTGGAATTTAAACAGAGGGTGGAATATGCATTGGGATAGGTGGGGTTTTCTTGGAATAGGAAGGGTTAAGAGCTACGGCTTCTTTTTGCGATGATATGGTCAGCCTCAGAACTCTCATGGCTCCAACAGTGTCGGATTTTTAATATGTTAGTGGGCATATAATGAACTTTGGGGTAACTGTGGATTGCCTTTGCTCCCCCTCTAGAATCTAGCTGGTGTTTTTTAACTTAACGTGTTTTACTAGCTGGCCACAAACTGGCCTCAAGTTATGAATATCTGTGGTTTCTTGACTCACCCAGGACCTGGCTCTCTTCCTGAATTATACTGCCTGTGTCAAAACATCAGATATTTAGGCTTCTATATTGATTACTGCAGAGTTGGTAAACTGGACCAACCCTTCTGAGAAAGACATCTATAAAAAGCTAAATAAGATATACATCTAAGATATAAGAATTAAGAAAAAATCAGAAATAGGGACAGAAGAAAAAAATACCTTACAACACTAACATAAAGTTAGTATATCTATTTATAACAGGAGAAAAACTAAAGCCAAACATATTTATATAGTCAAAGAAAGTAATGTCCTATGATTAAAAGATTTGGTTTTCCAAGTACAAATAATAGCTCTAACCTTGTATGTACCTAATACAAGGCCTCAATATGCAGTTATATCTACCTATATGAGGTTTGAATATCCAAATATTTACTTATGCCTGAAAAATTCTTAGCCAAGATTTTGATTCAAGAGGGGAAGAACTTGTAGAATCTATAGATATGTCATAGCAAAAACTATTCAAGTTTCTTATAAATCCAGATGAAATGTACCATAGTAACTTCCCAATCCCTTACCCAGTCGTTTAGCTCTTTAGAGCTCTTGCTTCCTTCTGCTGATACCCAATCAATCCAGGCTCAATTTAGATGGATTGTTTTTCTCTTACAGTATTATCATTGCAATAAAGAAGGATAACATAATTCTATTGTGCAACATTTGCATATAAATGTACAAACTAATAAGTTTAATATGTTGCACTAAATATTAGATAATTTGTTTTGAAGCGTGTTATAGAATGCAGAAATCCTTTTGGATTATGACTTTAATAATAAATATGTAATAAGACACATATTTGGTCTTTGTCCTTCATTCCTGATTCAAACTACCCAAATGCTTGTAATTTCCTAAGTGATTAGAGCAATAGGAGCATTTTTTGTTACACTATTAAATTTGTGCTCTTGGTTCCTGAAATAGCTTCATAGCATAAAGGTGAATGGGTGTCTTTTATTATTCATAACAAACCCCTTTCAACCACCTGAGTTTATGTTAGTGAGATGATCTTTGGAAAACCCGTAGAAAACCTAAGGATGGAGGCTGGTTGCCTGGGGAACCGACCATGTGATTAGAAGGTTAGAACCTTCAGCCCCTCTCCATCACCTCCAGGGAAGAGAGAGGGGCTGAAGGCCCCAATAGCCAATGACTTAATCAATCGTGCCTACATAATAAATATTCCATAAAAACACAAAAGGACAGGGTTGGGAGAGCTTCTGCGTGGGTGAACAGGAACACATCCATATGCCAGAAGGGTGGTGAATCACAGACTTCATGAGGACAGAAACTTCTGTGTTCAGGATCCTCTGGATGTCACCCCATGTGTCTCTTCCTCTGGTTGTCCATTCATCTCCTTTAATATCCTTAGTAATAAATGAGTAATCTAGTAAGTAAATTGTTTCCCCAAGTTGTGTGAGCTCCTCTTGAAAATTAACCAAACAAACATTAATTAATTAGAAATTAATATGATATAGATGGTTTTCTAGAATATAAAAATTAGTGAAATTGCTTAGAAGAGTTAGAAACCCTAAGCCTTAAAATTATAGGAAAAATGTGATCAAATAAATAGTCTTAAATAGGAAGCAAGTCCAGAGAACTTTACAGGTAAATAATCAAACTTCTGAGGAACGTGTACCTATATGTTATTATCTGAATATTTGTGTCCACCCAATATTCAACTGTTGAAGCACTGATGTGCAAAAATGATGGTATTGGGAGGTGCTTAGGTTGTAAGAGTGGAGCCCTTGTGAATGGGATCCATAAGAAGCTCCAGAGAGACCCCTAGAATCCCCTTCTGCTGTATGAGGACACAATGAAAAGGGGCTTGCTGTGAACTAGGGACAGGGCCTTGATGTTCACCAAAACATCATCATGCTGACGCCTTGATTTGGATTTCCCAGCCTCCAAAACTGTGAGAAATAAATTGCTATTGTTTTATAAGTTACCCAGTCCATGGTATTTTTTTATAGCTACCTGTTTTGCCTGAGGGTTTCAGCCCTGGACAAGTTCACCATGGATTCAATGAGACCAAGAAATGACAACAGAACATTCTTGGGGTAAAAACGTTTATACCGACTTTATTCTCCCAGTGGTAGGTTGAGCACTAGAATCATGTTTGCATCCAGCAGTCTGCAGGTCTGTAATCCACCTCTATCTCTGCTTCTGCCCAAAGCACTGAGCAGAGCTCTTCATATAGTGACTCAGTCAATAATAGCTCATTGCCTGCGGGTGTGGAAGCAGTAGCCTAGCAGCAGGCCAGTTACATCATCAAGTAGTTCAGGGTCAGGTGAGGATCCTGGCCACAGGAACTTCCATTTTCCCCACACTACCCAAAGACACTACATTACAGGTAAGTTTAACCAAACTGTTCAGAAACTAGAAAAGGAAGAAAAGCATTCTCACTCATTCCACAAAGTTATTGTAAACTGATTCCAAACTATTTGAGTATTTAAAAAAAGAAGACATCGGTCATCTCACTTATGGATACAGGTGCTTAAATCAAATCTTACAATGTATTTAAAGAATGTCACATCACAACTGTGCCAGATCTAGTCAATCAGCACTCAGCACCCATTATCACCTCTTTCATTGTGCCTACCAGGGCTTCAAAGGCTGAAAAGCTATGAACTACATTTTCCAGATTCCCCTCCAACTGTTTTCTTCAAGAAAATTTGTAGCTGTCAATTAACTGCCAAATGTAATACTTGGAAGTGAAGATGAAGCAAGATTTAATTTCCTGCTGATTTGTCTTGCCAATAGGTTTCAGCCCTTGGCAAGTTCATTATGGATTCAATGAAACCAAAGAAATGACAGTAGAACATTCTAGGGGTGAAAGAGTTCATATCCAACTTCAATCCCACCATGGCAGAACCCCGTCCACTAGAACCCCATCCCCTCAGAGCGAGTCTGCATGCAGCAAGCCGGTCTCTGCCCCTGGGCCTCTCTGCCCCCGCAGCCATCTCAGTCTCTGCCCTCAGGGCTGCCACCACTCCAGCCCCTGCTCTGCTATCCTGCAACACTGTATCACCAAGAGCACTGGGCAGAGCTCTTTGTATAGAGTCAATAACAATGCATTGCCCACACATGTGTAGTGAGCTAGCCAACCAGTGCCAGGCGAGAATCCTGGCCTCAGGAACCTTCACTTACCCACATGGTGTTTCTGCTGATAATCAAGGTCATAAATTGTGAATTTCCAGATGCAATTGTTGTGGCTACCCTCAGGAGTCTAGTGTCTAGCTACCAGCCTCTTGTGGGTGGAGGTACAATTGTGGTCATGGTCGCAGGGAGGCAACAACTTCTGGATTTGGGGATCACTGTCACTGCAATGTGACCTTGACCTCAAAGGCTCAGTCATAGAACCCCCAACTTTCATTAATCTAGTTTCCAAATTAATTATTTTTCATATTCAGAGTTTGGGTGCACAAAAATATTTTAATCATAATTTAAGATTGTCTTGCCACTGGGTTTCAGCCCCAGGCAAGTTTGCTATGGATTCAATGTAACCAAAGAAAATGACAGCAAAACGTTCTTTGGGGTGAAAGGGTTTATTACCCGGCTTGTTCTCCCAGCAGTAGGTCAAGAACTAGCGTCTCTGCCTCTGCCCAGAGCACTGGGCTGAGCTCTCTATATAGCGCAATAACAGTTTATTGCCTAAAGGTGTGGAAGCGGTAGCCAAGCAAAAGGCCGCTTACATCATCAGATGGTTTAAGTTCAGTGAGGATCCTGGCCATAGGAACCCCAACTTCCCCACAAAGATACACTAACCTCTTCATATTTCATTGTGTTTAATGTTTTATTTCATTGGTTTAATGTCTATTTTATATGAACATCACTACCCAATACAAAATCTAGAACTTTATCACATGCCTATGTTTTCTGTGTTCCTCCCGACCCTACCCTCTGTCCGTCATTCAAATAAAATCATTATATTGAGCTTTTGGTATATCAAATCATAGATTTGTTTTCACTTTTACCATATGTGTGCCAAAATAATATAAGATTCTATGCAGAAGACCTCCAGTTAAAGTTATCCCCAAAGAACAGCTCTTCATTTTAATGCCCACCATTTCATAGACCTTAGCTCTCTCTCTCAATAAGGCATTTATTAGATGATATTTATAAAGGAAAAATATAAATTTGTATACTTTCCAAGGAGGTAATAACAATATAAATCTAAATCAGCAGTATATAAGAGATCTCATTTATCTATATCTCCTCTAACTCTTGGCATTGTGTCTCTTAATTTTTGCCACTAAAATGGATATGTAGTGATATAATATTGTGGTCTTGACTTGCATTTCTCAGATTATGAGTGGAACTGAGCATCTCTACACAAACATTTATTAGATTATGTATTTCCTCCTCCATGAAATGCTTTTCAAATATTTCACTTCTTTTTTGTTTCCTAATTGATTTATCACACTTGCTTATATGTTCTTGGCATTAATACTATGTTATTTATAAGTATTTAAAACCTCTTCTCCCAGGTTAGCATTTATAATTTTTCTTTGTAGTATTTTATGTCATTTTCATAATTTAAGTGTAGAAGAATTTTTATTATTTTCCTTGGTACACATATTTTGTAGCTTTTTAAAGAAATCCTGCCATGGTAACCAGCCTCCAAGATGACCCTCACTGATTCTCACCCTTTGGTATTCATGAACCTTCGGGTAGCCCCTTCTTTATTATGTCAGGTTTGGTCTGTGTGACCAGTGGAATGCACCAAAAGATGTCAGGGTTGATTCTGAGGCTAGATAATAAAAGACACTGCTGCTATCACTTGTTCTCTATCTGTTATAATAATTGTTAATATTGGCATTAATAGCAACTGCTAACAAAACTTCCCTAAATTTTCTCCAACTAATCTGATTCTGCCCTCACCTGACATTGTCCTTGTAAGGTGTCTGATCAGTCCATTGCCAATTGCCATTCCCTTGTAGATCTGAGAGTCCCAGAAAATAAGATAATGATTCATTCAGTTGCTGGACTCAGTCTTGGATTGCATGCCCTGATGGAAACCAGCTACCATATTGTGAGGATATGCAAGTAACTATGGATAGTTCCCTGTGGTGAGGAACTAAGGCTTTCTACCAATAGCCAATACCAATTTGTGCCCATGTGAGTGGGCCGTCTAGAAAGAAGATCCTTCAGCTCTTGCCAGGCCTTCAGATGATTGCAGTTCCAGTCAATATCCTGACCAAAAGGAATGTTCAGTGGCATTTTGAGAAAGGAAGGTCATGATTTTCAAAAGTTACTACCTTGTAAGTCTTCTAATAAACAAAATAGTACAATCCATGGCACAAAGAATGTTTGTGAAAGGGTGAGATAAAAAAGGAAAGAATGAATAACAAATCAAAGAACAAAAGAAGGAAAAGCTCATCCTGTCGTTAATGGAAAAGAGGGACTAGAAGAGAGATGCTTGAAGAGAAAAAAGCATCTGAATATTCCTGTGAACCTCCATGATAAGGATTATACATAAATTACAAGAGGAAATACCATTTTATGATAGGTTTCAATTTTAAAGGTGTGAATGAATAAGTTTCCACTTATAGGTAAACCTTCTTCATCTCACAGATCGAATTCCTGTTAGTATCACAAAAAACATCATTCCAGCCCCATCCTCTATGACTCCAGAAAACGATTGAAGCACATTCTTCTGCAGAAAAATTGGGTTCATGTTGGTGCCATAATCTAAAGTGAAACAAAGGGTAAAAACACTACTTTAATGAATGCACAGTGATTGGTTAGAAAGTATGTATGGTTGCAGTTGAACAGAATGGGGGTTCATAGTGGGAAAACACCCTAACAATTGCTGTCCTCATACTGCCCTCCTCCTCAAAAGCCTCAAGTATGGACATACACTTTTATCCCTGTTCCTCTAACATTCTCCTGGCAAAATTTTTATGAAATAGAGTAATTTTAGATCTTTCCCCTAGAATCTGACCCTCACTTCCTCATATATATATATATATATATACGGCCTTTATCCTGACCTGGGTTATTAAACAATTACTTTCCTAGTGGCATGTAGTAAAGAGGATGCTTTCTTTATTTGTGTACTCTTGCCACCTTCCTAGGTTTTTCTATTCACATGGAGCTATCCTAAACAAGGGTCAGAAGATTGAGTGGGAACATGAATAGTTACCTTGCCTCCAGGGAATATAATCTGTAGTAAGGGCAGGGGGGAAAGGACATTATTTTTAGAATTAAGAGACCAAGTTTTGTTGCTGATGCACTTTGATCTTAAAAACATGATTTAATCTCCCAGGTATTAGATTCTTCATCTATACAAATAGAAATCATAAGGTCACCAAATAGCTCACAAGGTAGTGTAAGAATCAGATGAGATAATGCATACTTAAATTCTGGGTTTTTAAGTCACAAATAAGTAGTATTAATAACTATCTTAGAGAACTGAACATAGTTCTGACTCATATAATTCAAATCTTATTAATTGGAGAAAAAATTAATCAAAGTGTCTACATGTATTTAGAGGCAGCAAAGTGTAATGGTTAAGAGCACTAGAACACTATCATCTTTGGAGTTGGATAGATATCAAGTCGAGATTAAGTTGAGACCCAATTTCTCATCTTACTAGTTTATTGACCTAGGGGGAATTATTCAATTTTTTATCAGTAAAATGAGTTCTGAAAAATAAATTTTCATGAAGTTTAAGTGAGATAAGCATGCACCCAGTAAGTGCTCAATATTGTTAGAATCTGTTATAATAATTATTAATATTGGCATTAATAGCAACTGTTAACAAAATTTCCCTAAATTTTCTCCAACTAATCTGATTCTGCACTCACCTGACATTGTCCTTGTAAGGTGTATGATCAGTCCATTGCCAATTGCCATTCCCTTGTAGATCCGAGAGTCCCAGAAAATAAGATAATGATTCATTCAGTTGCTGGACAATGAAATTCTGCATAAAGAAAAAGGAGTCATAGACTGAAATTTCCAGATTGAACTAAGTAAAAGTTCCTTACAGCTCTAAAGAGAAAAGAAAATGCAAGATGTGAGGAACAGTCACATGACAGCATACTGGCCAGAGAACAGGCTAAAAATACCAACATCATCACAAGAGGGAAAGATTCTTAACCCATGGATTCCATTTCAGACAGAATTTATTCTATTATTTTCATTACCAAGAGACAGAGTTCTTTTTCTCTTTTTTTTATTAAAGTATCATTGATATACAATCTCATGAAAGTTTCACATGAACAACATTGTGGTTTCAACATTCACCCATATTATCAAGTACTCACCCCCGACCACCACTGTGGTCACTGTCTATCAGCGTAAGTCATTACTGAGACAGTTCTTTTTAAATGTACTTGTCAGTTTTTGCACTTTCAATTTTTTTAATTTTATAAGTTCACATGTGTTGTATCTTTCATTTTTAGATTTTAAAAACTTTATATTTTTATTTTAATCTTCAAATGATCATTTCGAACTGACTTTTCTGTAAGAATGTAAAGCACAAAAATTTGCAATCAGATCCACATAAATCCTCAAGTTATTCTGTGTAGTCTTCATTAATGCAAACCTTTGTGAATATTTCATTCTTACTGCAGATCTTGAATCTGTTGCACAATAATGAAGCTGTAAAGTTTTTGTGTAATGCATTTGTTATAAACTATAATGCTTTGATTAAAAGGAAAGCTGAGTAATACAAAAATATGAGAGAAACTGAGGAGCAGGCAATGTGTTGAGGCTTGGTATATATTATTTGCTTGGTAGTTTTCTGTCATTATTTTCAAAGAACACAGAGCACAGGAGGCACAGTAATCATCTCCCTTATTAACCTCCCTAATTTAAAAATCTGTTGTTCATAAAACTTGACCAATTATCACAAACTACCACTTGCATAATTAACAAAACATTTCATTAGTGGTATCAACAAATATAGGAGGATGGAAATGTATTAAAAATGTGTGTTGTTAAGCTTGTATAAATACCATACAATCCAGTAATTCCACTTTTGTATATTTACTCCAAGAAAAGAAAAACACTAGTCTGAAAATATATATGCACCCTTACGTTTATCACAGCATTATTTACAATAGCCAAGATATGGAAACAACTTAAGTGTCCATCAGTAGATGAATGGATAAAGAAGATGTATATATACACAATGGAATATCAGCTATAAAAAAGGAATGAAATATTGTCATTTGCAACAACATAGATGTATCTAGAGGGTATTAAGCTAAGTGAAGTCAGACAGAGAAAGACAAATAACGTGGTTTCATTTATATGTGGAATCTAAGAAACAAAATGAACAAACTAACAAACAAAGTAGAAATAGACTCAAACACAGAGAACAGAGTGGTGTTTGCCATAGAGGAGGGAGGTGAGGGGATAAAGAGGTACAAACTTCTCATTATAAAATAAATTAGTCATGGGGATGAAAGCACAGTATAAGGAATACAGTCAATGATATGTAATATCTTTGATGACAGATGGCAACTACACTTATCATGCTGAGCATTTTGCAATGTATATAATTGTCGAATCCCTATGTTGAAACCAATATAATATTTTATGTCAACTATACTTCGATTGCTCAAGAAGACAGTTATCTGGGAACTATCAAAACAAACAGCAGTTAAGATGGCAAATTTTGCAGGTTGTTTTCCATAATACAAAAATTTGTACTGAAAAATAAAGAAACCAAAAATACCTGCTCTGCTTCTGAGTTGATCACCACCAAATGAGCACCCATTGAAACACAGTTCTGCTCACTCTGAGCCCAAAAATTCCTTTTGGTAGAAATGAGGTAGCAGCTGGAACCAAATGACTTCCAAGTACTTGGGCAACATTCCCAGTTTTTTTCTGTGTCGTATGAAAGAGAAGGGTGGGTGCAACATGAGACAAGTAAGATTAAAGAGGTATGTTGTGTGCACATCAAATGCTAAGGATCTACAGCTGCTTTCCAGAGACAATAATGTACTTATTGTTTCCCTCAATCACATAATTTGGAGCAATAGAATTGCTTTTAAATAAACATTTTTAACACTAAGCCCTCAATATTTGCTAAGGTTTACCTCCAGAACTGGTCTAGATTTTTTTGCAAAAAAGCCACTACCAATCATTTTTCCTGTTCTTCATATCTCTTATACATTAGAAGCACCATGTTCTCTCAGCATTTGAAATGACTAATAGGTGAATCTGGAACACCAGTTTTGCTTAGTAATCTCAGCAAGCCACAGATCCTCAGGTTTTTAAAATGGAAATGATACTTGTTCACAGGGTGGTTATGAAAATTAGAATTATGCCTCATTAGAATTCTGGCTTTATAATTTATTATGTATACCCATGAACAAATTACATAACCCTCTTAAGCCTCAGGTATTTCATCTTTAAAGTGGATAAAATAATATTACCAACCTCAACAGGAGACTTAATCACATATTATGTGTAAAACACTTTAAAAAGCCTTTAATGTGGAATAATTGTTCCTAAATGTTACCTATGACTAGTACTAATTTTTGCATAGTATCAAGCACTTGAGAGTTTAAACAATATCAGTTTTCTCTCCTTTCCACTTAGAAGCACCAGTTTGCCACTCTCCTAGGATTTTAAAAAATCTCTAGCTACTATATATAAATCTACTGGCTTATTTTGATTTTATATATATATATGCCATACAATCCAGTAATTCCACTTTTGAGCATTTACTCTAAGAAAAGAAAAACACTAATTTGAAAAGATATATGCACCCCTATGTTTATCACAGCATTCTTTACAATCACCAAGGTATGGAAGCCACTTGAGTGTCCATCAATAGATGAATGGATGAAGATGTGGTATATATATTAGCACATATATATGTCGTGGATAAAGTGAAGGTTCCTATAGCCAGGATTCTCACCTGGCCCTGGCTGGCTAGCTCACTACACATGTGTGGGCAATACATTGCTATTAACTCTATAGAAGGCGCTCTGCCCAGTGCTCTGTACAACACAGTGGCACGCTGTAATGTTGCAGGAGAGCAGAGACAAGACTAGAGTGGTGGCAGCGCTGAGGACAGAGACTGAGACAGCTGCGGGGGCAGAGAGGCTCAGAGGCCGAGCTCGGCTTTGCTGCCTGCAGACTCACTCTGAGTGGATGGGATTTTAGTGACTGCCCTGCCACCATGGGAATGAAGTTGGGTATGAACGTTTTACTGTCATTTCTCTGGTCACATTGAACCCATAGTGAACTTGTCCAGGGCTGAAATCCATCAGCAACACAAATGTATACCTAAATAATAAGTTGTTACGGTTTGCTGGGTTTTGAATGTTTTTAAAGCCATCATAATATATATGGTCTTTGTGGGCTTAATTTTTCATTCCACATTGCTAAGATTCATCTATGTTTTTATATGTTGGACTATTTTATGCATTCTTTAGAAAGAATGTTATTGTATCATTACACATTATATGATGAGAAACAATCTACAGGCTTATTTTCCCTTTTATATATATATAAAGTGAATAAAATATATAGATCATATCTATATTGTTTTAATATCAGCCACTTTTAGAAATCTATCTTAATTATGCATTCTGTTCATTATTAAAGACTTTTTCACAGCACTCCTCAAAGCCTGTGTTAACATATTCTTTTAATTTAAAAAGTCAAATTTGGCTGACTGTTTTGATGGTGGGGGTTGTTTGCCAATTAAATTATATGTGGCAAGTCTTTTTCAATATGTTGAATATGCTAAGTCTCCAACTCCAACGTGGACAAAACTATTGAAAGTTGTAATGGACAGAAGTATTTGTCAAAAAAGTATACTGACATTAATAATATCCTATTTTTCCAATTGTTCTGAGAATAATGGGTTGCTCAAGGTGTTTTATAAGTATTTTTAGAAAGGTGTAATTTAATAGTCACTTGAAAAGACTTACTATAACCTTTTCTGGTGTACTTCCAGAAATTGAAAAACTAATTGAGTACTGACTGATGAATAACAAACCTTTTACAAATTTTTCTATTTATTGTTCTTTACTTTCAACAACACTGAAAAATAAACTACTCAAATTCTCAGTTAACAGACCATTATAAATAATCTTTGGTAATAGAACATTATGTGATTTTTGGCAAATCACTCTGAAAAAGTTCAAAAAATTGGGCGATATTCTAACAAAATAATTTCTGTTCCTCTCCTCTACTTATTTAGATAAGTAAGACTTATCAGTTTGTGTCACTAATTGAAAAATAGGAGCAGAATTGTTGTTGAATTCTATCTCAGTCTACTAATACTATTCAGTAGTAGACACATCTGATTGCATTTTTTTAAAAGTCCCATTCATCTCATTAAGAAATGAGTTTTCAGTAGTTTCTCCTTATTATTAATAACTTTTCAAAATTTATAATGAATTTCTAATGTTTTGAATTTTTCATTCTGATGGTAATTGTAATAAGTCAATCCAGAAAAGATTTTGTAATACTTAAAGCCTTATTATCCACAAGAAATAAAAACATTAGATGTATACTTGTTTAAATATTGTGGCAAATGGGGGAAGTGTAATGTAAATATTAGTTGAAAGGGAAAAGAATGATAAAAAAAATCCTAGTATTATATAATACATTGTACATTTTTTACTGTATGATGGGAGTGAGGGTGACACTTTGTAATGGTATTTAGACACTAAGTGATACATTTTAAAGAGATGTATTAGCCTTGCTTTTTAAATATTAACATTTACAATGTTACAGAAATTAAAGTCATTGCTTCTATAATGTGATGATATATTTTAGATGTCTAATTTGTATAAGGGGTTACATAGTTTTTCAAAATCCTTTTAGGGGTTGACAAGCAAAACAGCTTGAAGACCACAGGTCTAGGCAGAATATAGGCCTATTGAGAGGAGACTTGACTTTATTCATGCATCTGAACATCTCAACTCTCTGACTGGGACTAAGTGAGAAAGGAATTGGAGAAGGTACAATGTGGGCTACATTATTTTTTAACAAAATGAAAATATTGTGTTTAGACTTGCTTTTCCTCTTCATTATAATAATTTGAAAGGATATCGTTACAATTTGAGCACCTTTTTTTGCCTACATGGTATTATATAAAATAATGTTATCACACAAGCTTACCATATGAATTAGCTATACTGTACAGCCTGGTTGATGGTATTAGACCAGCTGTATTTAGGGAGTAAATTTGCAGTCTCTTACACCAGATAGTCGTGGAGTTTAATACCCATCTCTGTCTCTGTCATTACAGTGTCTTCTGAAAGCAGAGGCTAAAGTGCCCATTACCCCTTCCAGGAAGGCATTCTTTAAAACTCCAGTTGTTGCAGGAGTGCCTCCAAAAGGTGAAAGGAAGACTATCCTGAAAGAATTCTGTTCTCCTCCCCAGAATCCACAACTATATGAGCAAAGAACCCCAATGTGACCAAACCCACAGGGCAAGGAGAGTAGAGAAAATTATTCCTTACCATCCCTGTTACACTATATTCTTGCCAAATTCCAAACAAGGGAAAATTCCAGTATCTCATAGAAATACAAAGGAACTTATGCCTCGCTTTACCAGGTTTCTCCATAAATGCAGGGGAGTGAATTATTTAGTTCTTGAAATAACAAGAATCTTACATCTATTTGGATATCTTTTCTTGGAAGAAGTAAGGCCATAAAGACTGCTATAAATATGTACTCTGCCTGTCTTCACTAGACACAGTGTGAGGCAGCCCATGAAATACAGCTGCCCCACTGTCCATATATGAACTTGCCAGGACTCTATTTTAGAGTGAGGGCAGTCTTATCCTGAGCCACATTCCAAGATCTAAACTGATCAGTAATAAAGCTGATACTTGGAATGGAGATGAGTATTACTGTTCAAGAACCCGAGCTATCAGCAAGAGGATTTTATCCACTAGATAAGGATGAGGATAATGTAAACAAGAGCTGCTCTGAATAATTTCCAGGGTTGGCTTGGGCAAATTATGAATGCTATGTTGGTAGCACTTATTGAGATCAAGAAATCTGGGGGAAGGATTGTTTTGAGAGCAAATCTAGAGCTTAATATGAACATGTGTATTTAGAAATATCTTAAAGATATCCAAGCAGAGACTTTATTGTTTTTTTTAAATAGACTAAACCAATTATGAGCTCAGCCATGACCTCTTTCTGAGAAAAGAGAGTCTGGTTAAGCTTTGCAACACTTTACCTGTCACCCCTGTCCCTTCACTGAAGCAGGTTAGACTTGAATGAGATCTGTGTAGTTCAGACAGCCTCCTGCTACTTTTCCCATATGTAAAATGGTAAGTCGCTGTAAAGGAGAGGAGGAATTAGTATCCATCCATTCTTTTAGTGTAGACCCTTATCTTCTATAAATCTGGGTCAAGCTGGCTTACCTCCAACTGCCACCACTCTCTTCTCTCTCTATGCAGCCTAATAAAGACCATGCCGAATTATTGCTTGTTTGTACTCATTTATCTTGTCTGTTTATATGCCTTCACATTTAGTTTTGGCTCTTTCCCCCATTGAAATTTAAGGTCTATATTCTAGGGGACAGATTCTGTTTTCCACAACAAGTAATCACAGACACCTAGAACACTGACAGTCACAAAGCATCAGTAGGTGTTTATTAACTCAGTCTATCTGCTTCTACTTAATTGTAATAATCTAGAAGCAAGTTTGCAGGTCATTTTGATTTTTTTCTAAAATTTCAGACTGTGGATAGATACAGATAAATATATGGGGTAAATAACCACCAAGGGGAGCCTTTAAGTATTTAGGCATTTTAAATGCATCAAATGAACATTAACTTTTCTGTTCAAAGGTGTGGACACTGAGCCAGACCTGTTCCCTCAGTTTCTAACTTGATTCTACACTCCTCTTTCTTATCCTTCTACCATGGAAGCTCAGTACTGCTAATCATTCTGCCTTTCTCTTGGGGTTCTGAATATCTGCTTTCTCTTGATTAATGAAATAACTATTCTTAAGCCCCCTTCTCTCTTGCACTTGACTATGAAAAGTGAAGCAGATTCTAACTTTGGTGATAATTACTTATATTTTAATAAAGACCCTGAGATTGATTTACATCTCAGAAGGAATGTCAAACACAACTCATTCGACATAGGATATCAATTTCACTATCTCTGGACTGCTACATAACTTTTAAATCAACTTATCAACAAATAAAGAAGGAAATTATAGGCTGGGAAGCAAAAGGCCTTTCAGACTTCTCACAAAATGAACTTGATTTATTCATTTGGAGGCAAATGGAACAGGGAAAAAAGTCTTTTATTCCCTTACATCACCAATATTTCATTTGAAAACTTTTTCCTCTCATTTTGGGAAAGACTCACACATGAAAATCAAAGACCCTAACTAAATTATGATTACAAAAGCAATTACAATTATACTCTCAAAGGAGGGCTTTTGTGGCTAGAGAACATATGATCACTAATGAACCCAGCTATGGAGGATGCATTCTCAGATGATGGCTACAACTAGCACACTCAGATGTGAGGTCATGCTTGGAAAAATGCTAATAAAACCAGGTGATGTGATCTGGAAGCAGAGTCAGTTATCAAAAAATATAAAAGAGAAAAGGGTGGCAGCGGAGTGGGGAGGATATGGAGTATGAGGAGCAATCAAGGAAAGCATGTCATTGCAAGTAAGAGCCAACATATTAATGGGATAAAGGAGAACATGCTCTGGGGAATCTTGATAGAACATGAGATGGAAATGGATCAAGAGAAGTGGCACCTCCATAAAAACTTACCCACACAGCTCACAATAAAACAAGAACTGAGGAGTACTATAGAAATCACCAATCCAGACCAGAGCTTCACTTGCGAGCACCATCCTGAGTTCTCTGTCAGAGCAGCAAGGCAAATACAGTTACCGAGGGGCCAGAACACAAGAGTTCTAAGAGACTTAGAGCAATGAGGAAGCCAGATGAAGACTCTCAGAGCAATTAAAAACCCAAAACAAGAGGGCTCAGAAACCCCCTCAGGGTGTGCAACGGGTGATAGCTCTGAAGTCCTAAACCATGGGGACAAATCTGCTCCTCAGTCAACTGCAATTTCCATTTCCTTATTCTTTCTTCTTAAATATTATACTGATCTATTCACCCATTGATTCCCCCGCTTTTGAAAGCATCACTTTGGTCTCCCACTTCTCATACCACTGTGTTAATACTTGGTTTCTTATTCTCTCAAGTGCCTCTGGCTCTGAGGAATTAGTCTTTCAATGTCCCATCACTCTACTGTAGCGCTCCAACCACCGTCCCCTCAATGTGTCCATTGCCTACCTCTTCTCCCAGAGGACTCTTAGCATCTCACCACACACTTCCACCTTCCTTTCTCGACCTGAGGAAAGGAACGCTCACCTCTCCCTTGGTGCTGCCTTTCCTGCTCCATTATGTGAGCTCCCTGTGTGCAGAAGGTCCAGAAGCCTCTGATATCTCTTTCTCTGAAGATGTTACCTCATTCAAAGAGGACAGAAGTCAGAGACAAACTGCTAAACACTCCAATGAAGCTAAGAGACTTCCAGGGTGAAGTGTAGCTCGAAAGAAGAAGTCGTGGTTTGGACTAAAATTTCTACTGATTTAAAATATTGGAAAAAATAAAAGAGGAAGTTGAGAAACATGCCCAAAACTGTTCAATGGACTTTCAACAAGAATATTTAGATCATTCTTCAGTTCCTGATACAAAATTTCTCTCTCTGATCCCTATTTATTCTGGCATGCCAAGTAGAAAATTTTTGCCCTAAAATAAATTTGTTTGTAGTCTTAATTAATTGAAGTGCTCCCTAGCCAATCTTTGCATTTGGATTTTATGTAAGGCTTAGTCCATGTGTTGAATATTGTTTAAAGAAGTGAGCAAAAGTCTGACTGAATAGATATGGCTTAGATAATAAAGATTAATATAGTAAATTACATAAAGACCCATGGACATTGTCCAGAAACATGATTGCAAAATGGAAGATTCTGTAATCTATCTGTACAAGGAATTAAACATTCCTATTACATCAGGCCAATCTTGGACAGAAGTTAGTAATCTTTTATAATCTCCCTGATAAGGTAAGGAGGAGCTTGAAATGGCATAACATCAGAGGCAGGATTCACTAATTCCTTGTCATTGGGGATTCTTCCTAACATACAGTCTGCAGAATGCAGACCTCTTCTATTAATGTCACAAGCACGTCCACATTCTTAAGTGAGCACTCTTGAACACAAGAAACAATCAACAACAGATATATGAACGTTGAACTCAACAGGCTTTTTCAAGGTGTGGGTAAAATTGTAATATTTCCAGAATATCTTCTCTGCTTTAGTACATCTGCATATCAACAGGCACTCAAGGGTGGGAGAAGTTTATCTCCATATCAATGGGTAATTACCTGGGCAAGGAGGGCTTATCTGTACTGGAGAGGTGAGGGGAGGGCTGGGTTTTGCTGCTGGAGCAAGAGAGATGGGCCAGACTGCAGTTTTGTAAGCAATAAATGGGTTTTAAACTTTATTTCTCCCTTTGACTGATTTTGGTTTTTAGAGGTATTTTGCCCTGGTATTTCCTCTCCCCGGGTTTACACGGGGATATAAAGTTACAGCTAATGATGAAAATAGACATTGAGAATAGGATTAAGAACCCAGAGAATTCTCCCCATGGTTGGTTGGAGACACACATGTCATAAGGGGAGAAGGAGAAGTTATAAAAACCATCTGCTTCCAGTTCCCCTCAGAGATGAAGAAACAACCCAAAGACTGAGTTACTTGAGGATACAGGAAAATAAAACATTCTCTTGAGCTAGACAGGAAAAGCAATTTAAAGACTTCGCTTCCTTGTCCATCACCAGCTCATGCTCTCCAATCACTTCCTCCTTGACTGGTTGCTGCCCTGTGCTCTATTCTTCTTGCTTCTTTCCATTCCTCTGTCCCATATCCATTTCTAAATTATAGTGGAAATCCTTTGAATAAACAGTGCTGAGATGGTAGGAGCAAATGCAAAAAGAGTGATACACTGAAATAAAATAAAATGCAATATTAAAACAGAAATCAGTAAGGAGAATGGCAAATCAGAGAAAAAGCAGAATTGTGGGTAGGTTCAGGTCAGATGTGAAAGGGTATCTTACCGCGACCCTCCTTACCCCAGAACGACTCAGGAGTCACGGACCCACTCAAGAGTTTTTATTATCTGAAAGACAAAATGGCTGTACCCAGAGGGAAGGAGCAGCAGCTCATGGATGAGGAAGGTCGTTTTTAAGGAGTAGGGGTAGGTGTGTTCTGTGTTGGTGATTGGATCTTAAGGGGTGGGAGTCTTAGCACGCCAGAATTTGCCTTCATTCCCATCTTTTACTTTTCTTAGTTGGGCCTCTAGGGAACTGGGCATAGAATCTCATTCTCTAGCTACTTCCTGCTGGAAGGGGGCGCAGATTCTGGGGTTAGCGAGGCCATTGGTGTAGAGTTGGGGAAGGGTGGGCATCCTGAGATGGTTCGTGATGTCATCTAGCTGGTTTTGTTATTCTTCGTGAGAAGGCCTTGATAGCCCTGGAGGAGTAACTGGTTGACAGTATGGTTAGAAATTTTCAAAGGTCTATGTGTGCAGTGTTAGAGCTGGGTGGCCTGGCACCTCTCGGTGTGCGAGGACAGTCAACAGCCCAGTGTCCCTCCTGATGGCACTTAGGGCATGGACTGGGGGGCTTCTGGGGATTTGGGCAGGCTCTAGCCCAATCATCCGTTTGACCACATTTGAAGCAGGGACCAGGAGGTCCTCCTGGCTGCTTTTTAGGAGGTGAGGATACCTGAGCACCAGTGGTTGGGGTAGGTTGAAAGACCTTAGCCAGTATTTGATATTTTTGTTTATGGGCCTTTACATCTCTTCCATTATATACTTTGAAGGCCACTGCCAGGACTTCTGCCTGAGGAGTTAAGGGTCCCTTCTCCAGATGTTTAAGTTTAGTCTTAATGTCGGGGAAACTCTGGGTGAAGAAGTAGGTCATTAATAATTGTCTCCCCTCTGGGGTCTCAAGGTCTAGGTTTGTATATTGTAAAAGAGCTTTGGTGAGGCAGTCTAGGAACATAGAGGGATTCTCATTTTTATCCTGAATAACCTCCTGGAGTTTTTCATAGTTAATGGCTTTATTGGCTGACTTCCTGAGACCCACCACAAGGCAGGTGATGAATTGATCTCGACTGGTGACTCCCTCTGCCGTATTATAGTCCCAGTTAGGATCTTGGTCAGGAACTCCCTCAGCACCAATTGGATGAGCTGGAGTAGTTTGGTGAACCTCATCGGCATGAGTTCTAGCCTGTTCCCAGACTCACCTATGCTCCTCGGGCAAAAGTGTGTTGGATAGGATCATGTGAATATCATGAAAGGTAAGATCATATGACTGAGTTAGGTACTGGAACTCTTTTATGTAAGTAGCTGGGTTGGAGGTGAAAGAGCCTAATCTTTTCTCAATTTGAGATAGGTCGGAGAGAGAGAAAGGGCCTTGGAACAGGACGATGCCTTCTGTACTGGCTACTTCCCATAGCTGGGCTAGGATCTGGGTTCAAGAGCGAGTGACTGGAGGGCTTGGCTTGGGACTGGGTGAGGGAAGGGAGACTGGTTGTGGAGGAGGAGAAGGTGCTGCGGCTCCTGCAATGGCACTAGGGGAGCTGGGAGGGTTGGGATTTGATCTTGCAGAGAAGAAAGGAGGTTGGGGCAGGAGAGGAACTGGTGGTTGAGGGGAAGCTGTAGGGGTTTGAGATCAGGGTAGGGAGGAGATTCTTCAGCAGGGTCAAAGTCAGAGGACGTGGTGGGAATTGGTGGGTGGTGGGATGTAGTTTTTTAGAGCAAGGAGATGTTTAGGATTGCAAGGGAGACAGAGAGAAGGCTTGGTTCAGAGGTAAGAGAAAGCCTGGATATATGGGATCTCTTTCCACTTGCCCGTACACTCACAGAAGTTACATAAATCTCGGAGAATATTAGGATCTAAAGAGCCATTTGGAGGCAATTTAGACTGATTGTCCAAGGAATATTGTGGCCAGATCTCATTACAGTAGTGAATAAGCTTAAAAGGTTTGAGGTCTGGAGTGAGGTGGAGGGGCTTTAGATTATTGAGCAAGCACCCTAGCGGTGAATCTGCGGGAACAGAGGGGCCAGATCCCATGGTGAGAATGAGACCATTCAGAAGTCCTGGAGGCATCCCAGAGCGATTGAGAAGGTCACAGAGAAGACCAGACACAGTTAGGGGGTCGTCACTACCTCTAACCAAGCGGTCGAGGCGAAAACACAGAGGAGGCTCAGTACCTGATACTAGGAGTTTAGGTAGATAAAGGAAGACCAGGCCTCAGTGAATGAGGATTCTCAATATGGGGAGGCAGAGAAGGGTCAACTATGGGTATCAACCGTGACTCTGAAAGTCGAGGTTGGAGGTGCCCCTGTTCCAGAGGAGCCCTTGGGGGTGCCAGACACTCAATGGTCACTTCCCAGGTTCCAAAGGGATATTTAAGTCGACCATGAAGGGGAGACTCACCAAATTGAAGGCTGGTGTTGGGCGAGAAGATGAGTGACCAGGAAAATGGACGGTGAGCCCATGGAGGAGGATCGGGCAGTGAGGGTTCCCAGAGTAGCTCAGGTTCCCAGAGGAAGAGCAAAGTCAGTGGGAGAACCTGATCCGAGTCATGGCACCAGTGAAAGGGTATCTTGCCATGACCTTCCTTACCCAGAACGATTCAGGAGACACAGTCCCACGCAAGAGATTTTATTATCTGAAAGAGAAAATGGTTGCCCCCAGAGAGAGGGAGCAGCAGCTTGTGGGTGAGGAAGCACATTTTTAAGGAGTAGGGATAGGTGTTTTCTGCATTGATGATTGGATCTTAAGGGGTGGGGGTCTTAGCATGCCAGAATTTGCCTTCAAGATGTGTAGACAAATGTAGGATATTTCTATCTGACCAAGGAGGAATGCCAAAACTAGCAAAGGAGAAGATAATAACTAGTATGGATTGAAAATAGAATCACATATTATTAGAAAGAGTCCAAGTGGATTTTGTTCTGTTTTTGGCTTTGAACTGATTTAAAGGGGACATGAGAGGTCAATCAGCAATGGGAACCAAATCACTTTCAAAGAAAGCTGCTTGGGTTCCCCTTTTGAAAATTGGTGTCCATGAGTGAATACAATAGACCCAATTTGATTCTTTTGTTTGGGAATTTAAACACAATTAAATCAATAGTTGATGGCAAGCACTTGCACTAAGAAATATTTAGACTCAAATATTTTATTCACACAAATGTGTGTAAGATACTGTCAGATGTACAAGATATACAGCATCTCATTATTTTCAATTTATCAGATTATTATTGTTTCCTATTACCAGCGGAAATTCAAAATAAGTCATTTTGGGGACTATCTTCTGTTCCTGGGACTATATTAAGATTAGGATTAAGACATATTAATGAGGACTACCTAATTCCAACAAATTGAGGAAAGAATTGCTGATCATTGTTAATGTATCCACAATGGCTATATGCTACCCCCATGGGCTTCATGTCCTCAGGGCCCTGGTAACTCCCCAGTGCTTTGAAACTGACACTGGCCTGCTAATTTTTCTTGATATAACCATTGGTCTACACAAAATAGTTCATCATTATTAGAAGTGGAACAGTTTGTGTAACCCTACATGATTTTGTTTTTCCTTAGTCCTTGTCAGAGGATTGCAATACTGAAGTTAAGGTGATGGGAAGTTGAAATCTTCCTAAATAAGCAATGATTAAACTCTTCTGGGCCACTGACCCATTTGAGATTCTGATGAAAGCTTCAAAGCCATTAATAGAATTTTTTCATAAATGCAGTAATACAAAAATTACATAACATTTTAATTTTAATTTCCTTAACATAAACAGTGCAAGTGATTTTTACAAAGTCCAACTTTTGTGCAAATATTAAGGTCCTGCATTAAACAAAAATAAATTAGTACCATATTGTACTAATGAAAAAATCTTAAATAATTATTTTTATCAAAAATACATCTTAATAATATGAGCTTGACTAATTGTTGTTTGGCTATTATTTGGCTTAAATAAAGATGAACTGAGAGGTATGGGTAAACCAGGTTAGACCAACAATCCCAGACATGGCTGCTCACCTTTCAATCATCTGAATCTCTCAAGATGAATTTAGCTGATTGAAGATTACTAATGCCCTCAACTGCCTACAAGAACCAAAAGTAATTCCTCTCTGAAAAAAGATAAGAAGGCATCACATTATTTGTACAGTGTTTCATACACAATATACAGTACTGAATCAAAAGTAATTATACACAGAGGGGGAAAAAAACCCACATGAATGAAAACCTGAAGAAACAATAGGCTATAGAAAAAGACCAGTGGGGTTCAAGATAGCAGAATGTTCAAATTAAGACTTTAAAATAAAATGCTTAACGTGCTATGAGATAAAAGAAAACATTGAGAATTTGTAAAGAGAATGATTCTTTTCAAAAAGAATTTGAAATTTTAGGATTGAAGAACACCATAACTGAAATTAAGTATTCAATGGTTGGGTTTAAGAGCAAATAAGGCAGGCTTCCAGTTTCCAATTCCACACGTGAAGAGTTTGGAAGTCACCAGTCTGTCCTAACAATAAGTAAAAAGTTGAAGAAACTGAAAAATCAACAAATCTTCCAAGATCTATGGGAGAGGTGAGGATGCAGAGCTAACCCCTGCATCCAGGACTGGAAACAGACAGGGCAGGACAGGGAAGACATGGCAGGACAGGGAAGACATGGCTGATACAGCAGACTCATGAGTGGACACTGCAGTAGGAAACACTGCCAGGGTCGGAAAATCTGACCTGGAACTCATGAATTATAGAGGCGGTTTGGACAACTCAGAGAGTTAAAAACTCCAAGGTGACAAGAGTCATTGCAAGGCTGCCCCTTCACTTGCGAGACTTAACCTCCAGGAGTCTGACCATACTCTCACAGTAAATATCAGAGGAAAACCCCACTGCGTTTCCAACAAAGTGAGGGAAAGGAACAATTTGAAGAGGCCAGAGCACTCTGTTGTTCTTAACAAGGCCTATGCACAGAACCTAGTTAACCAGTACATACCCTCGTGGACAATTATCAGAGCCTACATAACCTAGGGGAAGGGAAATACTGGACTCCATTCAGCTCTAGCCTTCTACCTGTGAGAAAGGAAATCCCCAACACCAGCCAGCTCTGGCCATCCTCTCCCATGTATAAAGGATAAGGGGAGGAGGGAAAAAATGGAGAGATTTTGTTCCATGCAAACTGCTACATTTCCAGGCACATCTTCTGAAACTCTTCAAATAGGGACATACATTTCATTCAAAATTCCCTGACACAGTGATCTACAACTCACTTACCTAAAAGGAAGAATAAACTAGAATCCTCAATGAATGTCAGAGTCATTTAATGAGCCAAGTACAACTTAGTTTGTAATCGCTAGAGCTGGGCAAGATTTTTAAGTTACTATGTTTTTAAACAGAATGACCCTCACTCAAATTGAGGTAAATATTGCTCCAAAAAAGCAACAGCTTCACTGTTGGAATTTTGCTTTTGAAGTGTGTTGGGGGGGAATATGTGTCTGTGTGTGTGTGTGTCTGTGTGTATGTTTGCGTGTGTGTGTGTTTTAATTCCTTCCAGGAAATATTTCTTTACTCCAGTCAGTGTTGTCACTTCCTTTGAAACCAGTTGGTCAAAAAATCTATATAGTCTAACTTCCTTATGTTTCATTACAAAATATTTGTTATCAATCTACAATGAAAAGTTAGCACTTTATAAAATAAGATTGATGTTTAAAAGATTATCAATGCTAGTCCCTTTAAGGTATTGGAATTTACAGAAAGACTGTAGCATTCAAAACATTTTATAAAATTCTGAAGCTTTTGAAAGGCTCTTCTGGAATATTTGAAGAAAGGAAAGCCACATTATGAAAAACTGTATTTTTAAATAATTGTTTTGATTTCAAAATATACATTTGCAAATGGATAAACTGTGGTGTATATATATATTGGAATATATATAATATTCCATTATATATATATATATAATGGAATATTATTCAGCCATAAACAAAGAATGGAACCTTGTCATTTGCAACAACATGGATGGACATCAAGGGCACTATACTGAAGTGAAATAAGTCATACAAAAAAAATATCATATGAGATCACTTATATGTGGAATATTAAAAAAGGCAATATGATGAAGTAAAGATACTTTCTTCAACAAAAGGTGCTGAAATTAAACATCCATGTGCAAAACCAGGAATCTACACACAGACCTTACATCCTTCACAAAAACTAACTCAAAATGGATCATGGACTTAAATGTAAAATGCAAAACTATAAAACTCCCAGGAGATAACAAACAACCCCGAGTATGGTGGTACCTTTTTAGATACAACACCAAGACATGATCCATGAAAGAAAGAACTGATAAGCTGGACTTCATTGAAGTGAAAATTTTCTGCTCTGCAAAAGTGTCAAGAGAGTTAGAAGACAAGTGACAGACTGGAAGAAAATATTTGCAAAAGATGTATCTGATAAAGAACTATTACCCAAAATACACAAAGAACTCTTAAAACTCAACAGTAAGGAAATACCCAATTAAAAATGGGCCAAACACATGAAAAGATGCTCCTCATTGCTAATCATCTGGGAAATGCAAGTTAAAACCACAATGAAACATCAGCTCACACCAGTTAGAATAGTCACTGTTCAAAACACAAAAAATAACAAGTGTTGGCGAGGATGCAGAGAAATAGGAACCTTCCTACACTGTTGGTGGGAATGTCAATTGGTGCAGCCACTATGGAAAGCAGTATGGAGGTTCCTCAAAAAACTAAAAATAGAAATACCATACAGCCCAGTAATTCCACTTCTAGGAATTTACCCAAAGAAAACAAAATTCCTGATCCAAAATATATATTCACTTCTATATTTATTACTGTATTATTTACAATAGCCAAGATACGGAAGCAACCCAAGTGTCCATCAGTAGATGAATGGATAAAGAAGAGGTGGTGCATATACACAATGGAATACTATTGAACCATAAAAAGAAAAGAAATCCTGCCTTTTCCAACAACGTGGATGGAGCTAGAGGGTATTCTCAGTGAAATAAGCCAGGTGGAGAAAGACAAATACTATATGATTTCACTTACTTGTGGAATATGTAAATATAAGGCCAAACAGAATTAACAAAACAGCAATAGACTCATAGACACTGAGAAGGGACTGGTGGTTACCAGGAGGGAGGGTTAGGATGGGTGGATGGGTGGGGAAGGTGAGGGGAATAAAGGGGCACAAAAATTCTCAAGCATAATGTAGGCTGGTCATGGGGATATTAGTACATGGAGAATATAGCCAATGATTCTGTAACATCTTCCTATGTTGACAGATAGTAGCTGTGCTAGTGGGGGTGAGGATTTATAATATGGGTAACTGCTGAACCACTGTGCTGTACACTTGAAACTAATGTGTTTATATATCAATAAAAATCATGGGCCAAAGACCTGAACACACCTCACCAAAGAAGACAGACAGGTACAAATAAGCATATGAAAATGTGCTCCACATTGTATGTGATCAAGGAAAAGCAAATGAAAACAATGAAATACCACTGCACACCTATTAGAATGGCCCAAATCAATTATTAGTCATGATGTGGAGAGATAGGAACTCTCAATCATTGTTGGTGGGAATTCAGAATGATAAGGTATTTTGGAATACAATTTTGAGGTTTCTTACAAACTAAAATACCTTTACCATACAATCCAGTAATCACATCCCCTGGTATTTACCCAAAGCAGTTGAAAATTTATGAGCACACAAAAACATGCACACAGATGTTTATAGCAACTTTATTAATAACTGACAAAACTTGGAAGCAACCACGAATGTCCTTCACTAAGTGAATGGATAAATAAACTGTGGTACATCCCATAGAGGAATATATTCGATGCTAAAAACAAACAAGCTATCAAGCCACAGAAAGACATGGATGAACCCTTAAATACTTATTATTAAGTGAAAGAAACCAATTTGAAAAGGCTACATGCTTTATAATTCCGACCATATGACATCTGGCAAAGGCAAAACTATGGAGCAAATAAAAAGATCAATGGTTGCTGAGAGGAGGTGGAGAGAAATGAATAGGCAATTGGGGCAGTGGGAATACTCTGCATGATATTCTGGTGATGGGTCAGTAGGACGCAGGACTATGTAATTCTCTGTTCATATTCTTTGGGACATAGTCTTGGGGAGAGGGAGATTAGTTCTGACTCCTGGGACGAAGGAAAGGTGATTCATTAGCATGACTTGGAAAATTCCTGCGTGTCCTAAGCCAACCACTCAGGTGATTGTTTTGATTGTCTTGGGTTAATCAATATCCACCCACAGAGCTGGATGTGAGATCCCAAAACACATGGGCTGCACAAAAGATAGACATTTCTTTCTCTGAACAACACAGACATTTATTTGTAAGGAGAAGGGATAAAGAGGTCAACAATTACCACAACACTCAACACTGGTTCTTTATTATCAAGTTCCATTTGCTACAGTTTTAACTGATGCAGAGCATTTCACTGTGCAGACAGAACATGATTCCAAACCCTTATACTGGACATTTGGCTTATAAATTTGAATTCTTACATTATTATTTCCATCCTTGAGTCATTGAATTCATCTTTGACAAAGTGTTCATGATTGACGATTTCCATTTTAACAAAGAAAGAAGTATTACTCCATGTTTCAGTATTAAATTATCTAAACAAAATGACATTAAATAGGCCCTAAGAGTTGTCAGGTTTCAGCAGATTCCCACCATCAGAGAAATCATCCAGGCTGATCATTTTAATTCCAATGGGCAAAAGCTAGTACTGTGCATTCAGTGTCAGCTTCATCTTCTACTTACTAAGTGGCAGATTGACCAAAAGGGCTTCAAGTGTTGGTAGACTCCTTTGTTTCCAGGATTATTTGCTTTTAACAGCAATTGTAAAGATTAAAATAGAGCCTCAAATTCTAAGTTATATTTCATTTACAGACTTAAACATATCTGCCAAATAAACCAACACATAAACACATTTTATTCTAACAGTTCTGAATGGAGCCTGTCTTTTTCTTTCACCTTAGAGAGAACATGTACCTAAACTTTCATTAAGCATTTTGAGATTCATCTTCTAGAAGAGTGATCTCAAAACGATTTCTGATTACACACCTTTAACAACAAAAATAATGTAGCATATGCCCATTTAATATTGAAAATTTAAGAACCGCATACCTATGATATAATATAATATGCCCACTATACAATAATAGGAATTAAATGATAAAAAGTCAACACCTTAATATTGCATTTTATTTACTAAGGTAAAATTCATCTACTCTCATTTTAAAATTGTCACTAATCTTTTTAGAGACAGCAGCATGATTGAATATATGTCACTATTTTCAGAATTTGGTTCAAAACTGTAACATAGGTCAAAGGTGTTTCAGTTATACATTATTGAATAATAAACCACTCCCAAAACTTAGTGGCTTAAAGTGATTTTATTATTTTTCACAATTCTGTCCACTGATTGGGAGTCAGTTGGATGCTTCTTCACTTTAATACCACTGTTTAAACACAAATATTACATGAAATCTATTACCCACAGTCTTGACTTACTGATGCTCTAGGGAAAATTAAAGAAAATAGGATCTGCACCACATTCAGAAAATATAAGGTGGGAGTTAGAGAAAAGACCCAGCAGTGACTAATAATCACCATTCTCCATTTTGCTCCAGTTCAAGTACATCCTCTATTCTGCCAATCAAAGGCATTCAGTAAACTGGTTCTTTATGCCCTCCCTTTACACCATCCCCATATTAATGAAATGATAATGGGAAAAGCTCATTATAAATAAGTTCCCCTAGAATTCTCCCAGAATTGTTAGTAAGTTGCTCTCTGGGAAGTAAACTGATAAATTCTATACATGAGGGATAAGACCAAACTGTATAAAAATTCCTCATTTTCAGATATAGTCAGAAAATGAGTGGCAAATGTAATTACTCAGTTGCGTCAAGATAATCAGAGTGAATCTCAGAAGGTCATATTGGGAAAGCCAATGGCTAGAGTCAGCTTTATCATGATCAATTACAATTACCATATTAAGGCAATGAATAACAGGCTTAATTGCAAACATGATGTATTTTATATTATAATAAAAAGAAAATCATCTGTAAGAACTTTAGTAAACAGGGAAATATAAATAAACCAGGAGCCATTTTGAGTGGAAATTCACATTTAGAAACTATAAAACAAGAAAAAACTACTAGAATACTAGATGAATACAAATCCATGTCCTCTTATCAGTAATAACTTCTAATCTCAGTTCTCTTATTTTAAATCTCTAATACTCGATTTCTGATTTCCCTTGGCCTGTACCCTGCTGTTAAGTGACAGTCCAAGACCAAACAGAGAATGTTAATGATCCCTAAGAGTCTCCTGGGCCAAAGCTGGAACTTAACTTCCGTTGATGTGTATGATACTGAACTGTTACAGAATATGCTTTCACTTAGAGGTACTAAGGATGTCTGGGAGAAATGGAAAGTAATGGCTAGGATTATCTTGCTTTTGACCAACTCATAAAGAGAAAAATCCAGACAGACAGAGGAGCCACATCACATGACTATAAAAGTACCTAACCCCTTAGGAGTCTGACAAAGAGGAGAGGAGGTGCATGCTCCCCCACTGGTCTCCAGTATAAGGTCTGAAGATGGGAAATGTTCAATATATGTTCATTTTATAAATGAATGCGTACACTGATTCTATCATAAGTGGAGTGGGTGACAGCCTACTGAAAAATTCTATGGAGATCCTTCACACAAGACTTCACGTGGATAGAAAAAGCATATCAGCTATTATAATGGTGGATACCAATACAACCACATGCTCATGCAGAATGTTTAATTCACAGGTAGATCTTCCTCATCTTGCAGAGTGACATCTGTTGTTCATGGCAAGGGATATCATTCCAGCCCCAGGATCTTGAATAAGAACGAAAATTTAGCAAAACACAACCCTCCTCAGGATTACTGGGTTCACCTGAGTGCCAGAATCTGAAAGGGAAAAAAATGATGAGGATTTTTTTTAATAGTGCTTTGAAAAGGCTTAGAGACAGTTGGAGACAGGGCTGTGGTTGAACTGTGTAGAAGCCAAGGTCAGATATGCCCACATCATTCTTTCCCCACTTCCACACAGTTTCTCTCCATCTAAGTCTCTGGCATTTCCCTTCAAAGCTGTGCTTCTCTCACCCAGCACTGTCTTCTGATTGTATTAAAGATTCTCCCAGCAGACATCCCAGAGGCTCCCTTCTATCTGTCCATCATTATGTCCTGCTCCCAGGGGACTGTCCTTAGTGACAAAAAGATTTCACCCTAGAACCAAGTGTCACTGTAGCTTCTTTTCTTTGTGCACCTGCTTTTGGAGACTGAAGAACTAGTTAAAACCTCTGAATCTGCTATGATCCCTGTTATCCTGGACAAGTAATTTAATTTTCCTAATTTCCATAATTTAAAAAGAGACTACAATAATATTCCTACATGTTTCACACAGTGATGTGAAGATCAAAGGTGGTAATGTGCTAAAATATACTAAGGTACTTAATTTAAAAAGACCCCATAAGTATGAGATATCATAGGTATCAGAATTTGTTTATTAGTTTTATGAGAGATATTAAATCTTAATAATTAGTTGTGGTCTTAATTGGCATGAATTTTTGTTACGTTTAGAGATATAATGTATGGTAAAAGCAGGGTTTTTTGGTATCGAATTGAGCTAAGTTTGAGGACCACAGTTCCCACTGCTGGATAACCTCTGCTGTGTTACCAAAACTCTTTAAACTCAGTTTCTTCATCTCTAAGTGGGAAAAACATTAATGTGTATCTCATAGAGTTCTTGTGATGATTAAATGGGAAGAGTGAGATATTTTATGTAATAACTGATGGTTGGAACACCCTAAAATTCCCGTATGACCAAAGACAGGATTCCTATACTCACGTGACACTTTGACTGTACTGTGTCTGATCAACCCACTGCCACTGGTGCTTCCCTTCTGGGTCTGACAGTCCTATAAAATAAGCGTGTTGTGTATACAGATTCTTGGTAATGAAATCCTGAGGGAAGAAAAGAAAGGAGTCAGAACTTTTAAATATTCAGCTAGAACTGAGTTCCTATGGCCTGAGGGAGAAGAAAAGGGGAGGACCCAGGAGGAGCCGCTCCCTGGAGGGCGGCCCTGCCCAGGAGCCCAAATCTTCCCTGGCTGAGCAGGACAGGATCGAGGATAACCCTAGCAAGCATGATGTTTGTCTTAGTCTTCTCAGACTGCTGTAACAAAATTGCACAGACTGGGTGGCTTTTGAACAACAGAGGTTTATTTCTGACAGTTCTGGAGGTGGGAAGTCGCAGATCAGGGTACTAGCGTGGTTGGGTGAAGGCTCTCTTCCTGGTTTGCAGCTGGCACCTTCTCACCATGTCTTCACATAATAGAAGGGGCAAGGTAGCTGTGTGTGGTCTCATTTTTATAAGAACACTAATCCCATTCATGAAGGCTCCATCCTCATTACCTCCCAAAGACCCTATCTCCTAATACCATCATCTTTGGGGGTTAGGATTTCAAAATATGAATTTTGGAGACACAAATATTTAGATCACTGCAATGTTCAATACCTATGGAAGCACTTTCTATCCATGACCATAATGAATTCTCATCTCAGACTCACTTCCCCTCTTTTCTTCACTAAGAGATGGTAATGAAGACATGGCACAAAGTGATGCATTAGAAAATGTTTGCAGATTAAATCTTTTTCCTTTCATAACTTTGGAAATTCTTTAACTTCATTTCTGATTGTTGATTGTGACTCCTCATGATTGAACTTTATTTCCCTATTTGATCTGATACCCCTCCTCTGTTAAAAAGTTAATTTACAAAACATTTGCATGTTGAACTAATAAACTGATATTTCAGTCTGACATATTTTTATCCTTCTACTCCAACTCCACATTTTATAGTTTAGATTCCCCAATTTATTTTGGAAGAGGCTAGTTTATGGAAACAGGAAGAAGGTATGGAATGTAAAGGCCTTGGTAGCCTTTCCTAATCATTTTGCCAAGAGCCTTCTGTCATAGCACCATTATCCCCAAACAATAAAACAAAAAATTAGACAAGAGAGGTGTATGTACAAAAGCCAGGTAGGGCTCCTGAGTCCCTTATCTGTAGTAAGTACCTGCTCATCCTTGCTGTTGATCACCAGTAGGTGAGCCTTCATTCCTAAGCAGTTCTTCTCACTTTCAGTCCAATTTTTTACTACAGTAGAAATAAAGTAGCAGTTGGAACCAAATGGCTTCCAATTCTTTGGGCAGCAGCTCCAGTCTTTCTCTGTATTGAGAGAATATATAAACGTGCATTATAATAAAAGTAATTTTTTAAGTGTGTGTATTATTAAAATTAAGGACCAAGGGAGACCACACAGAAATTGGAACTGCCATTTCACCCAGCAGTAACATGGAGTCACTGCCCATCTGGTGTCAAGGAAGTCAAGTCCACCTACATCAGGCAGTGACAAGGCAGAGACCCCTTTCCCTTGCCAGAGGGGTGTCAGGAAAATCCAACTAAAACAGAAGGTTTAAATAAGTTCCAGACTCTCAGAACATAATATAAAAATGTCCATGCTTCATTGGAAAATCACTCATTATACCAAGAACCATGAAGTTCTCAGAATTAATTTTTAAAAAAGAAAATATATGTCAATACCAAGATAACAGAGATACTAAAATTATTTGACAAAGATTTTAAAGAAAGTATGACAAACATGCTTCAACAAAAAAAACAAATATGTTTGAACGTAATGAAAAAATAGAAAGCCTCAGCAAAGAAATAGAAAACTTCAGCAAATAAAAGCATAAAGAAAAACCAATTGAATTTTATAATTGAAAAATATAATAACCAAAACAAAAAGTTCAGTGGATGAGCTCATCAGCAGAATGGAGAGGACAGAGAAATCAGTGAATTGAAAAACTAAGAAATTATCCAATCGAACAATAGAGACAAAATAGACTAAAAATAGTAAATAAATAAATAGTCTTTCAGTTTCCATTTTGGCGTGTAAGAAAGAAGCTTGGAAGTCACTACTCCACTCTAACAACAGGCAAAAAGCTGAACAGAGTATCAACAACCCTTCACAGAGCAAACCACTGCCTTCAAAATTGGATAAGCAAATACAGAGAATTACAGTTTACTGGATGAGAAACCCAGGAGCTGAAACCTCCGTGGGAACCAGCTCCAGGGAAGAGAAACCTGAACTGTAATGGCTGAATTGTTGTAAGGTCAGTGTGGACAAATCTAATGAAAAAAATTCCAGGATGATCCAGTCAGCGATGGAGAAGGGCAAAACTTTTGAGTTTACCTCCTTGAGCTCTGCCAGGTTCTCACTGTGAATATCTGAGAAAAGTCCTCTCATGCTTCTGGCAAGAAGAGGGGAATATGTACCAGTTTGAAATATACCAGTGCATTCTATTCTCAACAAGGTTTGCCATCAGGAGAAACTATCTTACCAGAGCCTAGCCGACTGTGGTTTTATCAGAGCCTGACTAAGGAAAGGGAAGGGAAATACCCAACTCCAGCCCACTCTAGCCATCCTGTCCCACTTTAAGGCAAGTAACCAAAACAGCTGAGAAGCACTTTACATTCAAAGCCCAGAGGCAAAGACTCACTGAAAAAATGAGACCAGGCATAGAACTGTAAAATGCTTCCCCTCCCTGCACACACCTCACCACCACATTACTAAAGGTGTATTTACACAAGTTCCTTTTACTCAGTATGTCATGTACAGCTAATGAGAAAAAATTACAAGATATACTAAAAGGCAAAACAAAAACAAAAACAAAAAGACCCACAGTCCAAAGACTCCACTCCAAAACTACTAGAACTAATATCTGAATTCAGCAAAGTTGGAGGATACAAAATTAACACACAGAAATCTGTGGCTTTCCTATACACTAACAATGAACTAATAGAAAGAGAAATCAGGAAAACAATTCCATTCACAATAGCATCAAAAAGAATAAAATATGTAGGAATAAACCTAACCAAGGAAGTGAAAGACTTATACTCTGAAAACTATAAGACACTCTTAAGAGAAATTAAAGAGGACACTAACAAATGGAAACTCATCCCATGCTCCTGGCTGGGAAGAATTAATATTGTCAAAATGGCCATCCTGCCCAAAACAATATACAGATTCGATGCAATCCCTATCAAATTACCAACAGCATTCTTCAATGAACTAGAAAAAATGGTTCAAAAATTCATATGGAAACACCAAAGACCCTGACTAGCTAAAGCAATCCTGAGAAGGAAGAATAAAGTGGGGGGGGGGGG